TTGTCCAAAAAATCAAAGCATCTTTCACTTGAAAATAAATTGTCGCCCCCTAAATCATGGTATTTATAAATCTTGACCCAGTTGGATACAACTGGCTACATTACTGAACTTTCTTCAGCTGAAAATTTATTTTAAATTTTAATATCTTCCTTCTCTGGAACTGTATATACTCAGTTATAAGTCCAACTGCAGACCCAAATCTGCCATTGCATAATGAACCAGCACATCTGGGTTTGTGCAGTTTGTTAGGAGTAATCAGTAGAACAAACAACATAGATCCTGATCTGCAGACACATTATGCTATGTTTGCAGTTTTGACTTGACTTATAAGAAAGTATATAAATGGTATTAGCAGAGTTAATCCTTTGAAATCATCTCAGATTGACAATAGATTGAGTAATGGTGTGTGAGTGTGTGTGTGTGTGTGTGTGTGTGTGTGTGTGTGTGTGTGTGTTTGGAGAGGGATATATATATATATATATATATATATATATATATATATATATATATATATATATATATATATATATATATATAATTGCACTTTGAGCATGAGTAATTAGCAACAGGTGAATCACAAAGGGTCCTGCTCTCTAATAATTTTCTCCATAGTGCATTTAACAGAATATTTTGTGTTTGGAAACAAAAGATCTATGAAGGGCATTCAAAGGCTGTAATTCCACTTTAGCAAATATTGATGTGGAATGTCTGAAATTCATCTCTTTCATTGACTTATCAATACAAGCAATATTTTTACACAGCATGTAAAAGATATGACATTGATCAACATGGACCATAACTCTGACCAAAATGGTGTTGAAACAAAGCACAGCAAAGGGTTATTTAAGTCAATGAAACAATGTTTACATTGAAGTACATCAGAATATGTTAAATTAAATAGTTCCTGAGCTTTGCTGATTACAAACAACATCCAGTGTAAAGATATGACATTGATAAATAAGAGCCATAACTCTTTTTAAAATGATGTAGACAAAATAAAATCAAGACAAAATTCATAATAAAGTGCAAACAGAGGTCAACAAGACAAAGTTCTTACCAAATTTCATCTATTTCATCTATGTTTATTGTTTCTTGAGGTTTTCTGATTTCAATCATCATTCCAAGTTTGTGAAGACAAAAATTTGTCTGACAAGAATCGTAACTCAATCCAAAATTTAAATAAATACGACTAAATCCGTAAAAGGCACAGGTAAGTCTGAGATGTTGTACACTAAAGCTAAAACTAAATATCCAAATCAAATACCCTTTTTGTGAACACCCGAACATAAAATTGGTGTGTAATATTCATTTGTTCAACTAGTGAGTAATAAATGTAAACTTTGAAATGCTGAATCAGTTTACAAGGAAACAATGTTAAATTCAAAAACCCATTTAAATTCAAAAACCCATTTGGGAATCATACTAATCATAATTTTGTCATATCTATTCATAGTCACTCATTTACTCTTGAAAATAGGATAATTGCAATAAAGGCAGGTTGTTAAATTAAATTAAACTGGATGCATGTCCATGAAATTTTTTTTTTGGAATACCAATACACCTGCCTATAAGTTGAGTCAAACTGTAAACAACACAGATCCTGATCTGCCATAGCATAATGTACCTGAAGATCCAGGTATATGTTATTTGTTCTACTGATTACTCCTATCAAACTGCACATAGCCAGATCTATCAGAGCATTAAGTAATGGCAGATCAGGCAGGATCTGTGCAATTTGCAGTTAGACTTGACTTATAAGAGAGTATATATGGTAAATCACTTCATGAAAACATTTTGAGATAATCTCTGCATTTAACTGAACAAAGAATAATGTTTCTGTCCTTTTTGCCATCTATCTTTGGTACTAAATGAACATGATGAACCAGACTTGCAAACTGTTTGAATCCTCAAAAAAAAAAAATTACTTTTAAAATTACAGCTTGGTAGTGAGTGCATGTGTGAGGATATGGTGTCAATAACACCAAAGCAAACAGCAAAAAAAGAGGATGAATTTATATGTCCTTTTCAACAATAATATTCAAATAGGAAAACACAAAAATCAGAATAGGTTGAATATTTTCCCAATCTAATCGCAATGCAAATTAAAAATACATAACTGATGAACAAAACATTACACAAAGTCTTTTAACAAAATCTGGGGAAAACAGCATGTCAATATTACTCTCAAGGTAATATTTTCAAGCCGGCCACTGTGGTGGCCATATTGCAGCTAATCCCAGCATCATTTTCATTCAGGATCATCTGAAAGTCTATTGGTGAAAATATGACTTTTCTTCCTGAAAAGAAGCAATAACAAGATTTTCAAGATGGTTGCTGTGGTGGCCATTTTGGATACCACATTGATAAAAATTTTCCTATGGGACCAACTGGGCAACATAAGAATCCTTTCAGTGGAAAGCTAATGTTGATATGACCATCCATTCAGGAGGTGTAGTGATAACAAGATTTTCAAGATGGTTGCTGTGGTGGCCATTTTGGATACCAAATTGATAAAAATTTTCCTTTAGGACCAACTAGGCAACATAAGAATCCTTTCAGTGGAAAGCTAATGTTGATATGACCATCCATTCAGGAGGTGTAGTGATAACAAGATTTTCAAGATGGTTGCTGTGGTGGCCATTTTCGATGTAAGATCAACAGCACTTTATGCTCAACTAGACATCATCTGAAGTCTTTTGATGAAAATCCCACATTAATATGTCCTTCTGTTCAAGTGGAGTTGTGATAACAAGATTTTCATGATGGCTGCTGTGGAGGTTATAATTAAATAAACATCAGAAGAAATCTTTAATGAAAACTCCATGTTCATATGACTATCCATTCAGGAGGAGTAGTGATCACACTATTTTCAAGATGTCTGCTGTGGCAGCCATGATGGATGTATAAGCAGTACCATTTTCATTTATGATCAACTAGATCATGGAATGAATTTAATGCTTAGACTATGGGATTAATGGGTGTCTAAAGTTTCATGGCACAACAATTCCACTGGTGAAAATTGTGTATATCTGATCAATATCACATGGACAGTAATTGTTGGTATGATAAAAACAAGAATTCAAATAAATTATATGCACAAAATACCAGTATAACATTTTGAATCACTTATACCATTGAAATGAAAAAGTGGATGGTTGAAATTCAGTATAAATTTAGATGGATTCTATTCGGTCATTGTTGACAGTGGCAAGCAAGAAAAAGTTAAAACTGGTTACATCTCTGGGATACCAAAGGCCACCTAGTGGATATAAATGGGAGTTAACCTGTAAAAGTTGCTTCCCTTCATCTATGTTACATGAAGATGGCTAGATATTTTTTGTATCTTTCAGGACAGCTGGATTTAGAGGAAGCAGAGAGTACTCCTACATGTAATTATGTAATGAAAACAAGATTGTATCAAACATTGCTACAATACAAAAAGGGAAATAACTCTAGCAAACTCAGATGATGACCATAGAATTTCTATATTTCATGGTAATTGATCAAAAGCTGTAATACTTGTCACACGGATGAAAAGATTATAAAAAGCACAGTTAGCATGAAATTAAAAGGTGCAAGTTTTGTTCATTTGCTTCCATTTTCCCAACCCCAATTTACCACCACCAGCACAACCAGAGACAGTATTGTGATTGCTAGGCATCTTTAAATTTTCTGAATTAACTCTCCACTTTACTATCTAGCATATTATTTAAGTGCCAAAAAAATTAATTTACTATATCTCAGATATCAAAGCTTGTGGTTTAATTGTAAAACAAAATACATGTATTTATTTTGATCATAATTTTTTTTACCCATATATCATCCAAATAAATTAATGTAGCAAAATAATAATAATAATAATAATAATAATAATAATAATAATAATAATAATAATAATAATAATAATAATAATAATAATAATAATAATAATAAAAATAATAGTAATAGTAATAGTAATAATAGTAATAATAATAATAATAATAATAATAATAATAATAATAATAATAATAATAATAATAATAATAATAATAATAATAATAATAAAAATAATAATGACTGCTCAGTTATATTAACTCAATCTGTCTCCAATTATAAGGAACATTAAAAACTGGTTTGAGAGTCCTATGTGTGCCACTTATAATGGAATATGTAATAATATTGATGTATACTGTTTTATATCATAAAAGCACAGTCTGGTCTATACAGTACCGAGTAAGTTAGGTCTCCAAAATATTGCAATATAAAACATCTCCAAAAATTGGCAATATAAAACAAAGATATGGCATAAAAGAGTATAATCTTTAAAATACAATCAAATTTTTAAGTCAAGTGCACTCTTTTAAATAGTCCAAGACATTGAACAATGTCACAGGACACATTGCAGACCAAAAATGTATGTCTTCATTACTGTGTATTGCGACATATAGAGTGCATCAGAGCTATTCATCATCTCCAATTGTGCACTGAGGTCTGAACATGTAAGTATGGGATGCTGGTCAGTAATTAGTCTTCCACTATTCCTTTGTTGGATTTGTTAGAGATAGATGATATCAATTAGGATTAATTCACAAACAGTATGATCTGATAAAGAATTACAAGGGTTGACAGCACTTACAATCCATGCTTATTTGAATGTCAAACACAACATAAAATAATACAATATAGATATTGCTTTTATTGCTATGACAAGAGCTAAATGCAAACTATGTTGCAATCTACATGTTCTAAGTGTTCCTAAATTAACAGAACAAGTCACTGAAAGGAAGTTTGTTTAACCATTTTTGTTTGTGTGTGATTTAGATTTTTAACATAGCAGTCATATCACTATGTCTACAGTGTGGCAGTTGATAGTGATGTCTAGCACTGGGGCATCATGCTGCAGACATGTAGCATGATGATACACCCAGTCACATTATTCTGACACTAGGCCGATCAATCCTAATACTAACATCTTCATGCTGAGCACCCAATGAGGCAGCTCTTAGCACCATTTTTGTCTTTGACTTGACCAGGGTTTAAACCTACAACCTCCTACATCTGAGGCAGATGCTCTAACCACTACGCCAGCAGAGCGGTTGCCAAAATTGAAGCAGACTATCAAGGCAAATAGTTAGCCACATGTACAATGCAGGTCTCTCTAGGATGTGAAAAATTGTAATACATATTTTTTTTTTAAACATGTGGACCTAATTTTGTAACTTTTAACATTTAAAAGTAAAGAACCAAGACAAATTGCTTCAGACAAGCATAAATATCCACAAACAACAGATATAAAACAAAAGAGGGAGCTTAATTTCATTATGTCAACTTTGAGCCAACAAGCAAATGGTAACATCCGAGAGACTTGGGAAAATGTAATGCAAATGCAGCAATAAACAAATAAGGGGGAATTCATATTACATATTTCTGATAGACAGGTGTAAGGTGATGTTGCTTACATTTACAACATGCTCTGGCATACCTTTAAACTACTTTCATGTATTGTAACTGAAATTTCCTTACAGGTTGTAATTATGGTAATTATGCATGATTTTTGCATAAATCTAATCAAAATGGCTGCTCTCATGTCCTAAAAAAAAATCACTCTGAACTAAAAGTACACTAACTTGAAATGGAAAGAATGAATAATGAAATACATGTATAGCAAAAGTAAAAATGTTATAGCCTCAGTTTTTCACAATTTACAATGAAGTCCAGGAAGTGAAAATTGTCAAACAGAGCAAGTAGATTTTTTATGGGTGCATATCTGAAGCAAGACCAAACTGTATACTATATAAAATTACACCTATACCTATTAATCATACACAAAAAAAGGAAATAAATAACAGTAGGAAAACCTGGCAAACTTTGTTTAAATGAAAATTAAACCCTACAGAAAGTACAAAATTGTAGACCACCCATCTAAATTGACAGATTACATGCAGCTCTAGTTTAGCTAAATGATCAAACAAGTATTAATGTACAGTACTCATGCAGTACATTCTTTTAACAGGGAGAAATATACTTTTTGTTGCAACGCATTTATGAAGGTAACATGGCAGTTACAATATTAATCATTTACTTTTAAATGGTTTTTTTTTAAAACGCTAAAATTGTCATCTGTGATGAAATAAACATTAACAAGAAATGAGTTTTAAGAAGGACCTGGAATGCTCCCAAGACATAAAAATGTCATATCCCATGATCCCAGGGGGCTCCCAATGATGAACTTCTCTAAAGGGCTGGAATGCAACAGCCAGAGGGGAACACAATATTTTTATATTCCAGTCTAAAATGGCAACAGAACTATTAAAATATAAGTTATTACCCCAGTGGCCCCATCCAAGATTGTTATTGTTATAGGGTTTAACATAATTTTTCAGCACAAGATAGGCTATACAAGGCGGCCAGTATTAAATGGTGGAGGAAGAACCCAAGAAAACCCCAGAAAGAACCACCAACCCAGTTGCTACTGGCAACTGACTGACCCCACACAGATAGAGGTGAGGTGGCAGTGATCCATAACAGTGAGCAATGACCACTCAGCCACTCATTGCCATGAACAGGAGTGGTACATTACTGCAACTAAGTATATGTACTGGGCTTACTGAATTGCATGTACTGACAGAACATAATCAAGACTTGTGTCATGATACTTAATATAACATACTTAACATGACTGCTTCTTTATTCTGCATGGTAAACAACCATGTAAATTTCTGCAGGCTTTTAGCATTTTATTGGATAATTTAACTTCAGTTACAATAGTGCATGTCTCTAGTTTTCTACATTTTGATCAATCAGATCTTGCTGTTAATTTTTTTTCCATTTCATCTTAATACAGTCTATGAAAGATTTATGTACCTCAACAATGCATTTCAGATGCCTCAGATATTCAGTTAACTATCTCACTGTTTACCATTTATCTTGGTATGTCACATGTTTTTGCTTTTTACATGCTTTTAAGAATGCATTTCAAAAAGCATTTACAACCTAATGTTTCCAAGACTACACAAGGGAAGTAACTCAAACAGGCATATATTTTCTGGTTTATCATTCACTGTTAACCATTTATTGTTTATGGTTGGTCATCTGATGCATGTGGCAGGCTGCATTTGGCTTGTACCATTTATCATTTATTCTTCATTCATTCTGCATTTGCCTGCCATTTGGCTTGTACCATTTATCATTTATTCTTCATTCATTCTGCATTTGTCTGCCATTTGGCTTGTACCATTTATCATTTATTCTTCATTCATTCTGCATTTGTCTGCCATTTGGCTTGTACCATTTATCATTTATTCTTCATTCATTCTGCATTTGTCTGCCATTTGGCTTGTACCATTTATCATTTATTCTTCATTCATTCTGCATTTGTCTGCCATTTGGCTTGTACCATTTATCATTTATTCTTCATTCATTCTGCATTTGTTTACTGTTTCTGCATTCATTTTCCTTTTGTTCATAATTCCATTTGCATTTTAAGTGTGTCAGGCATGCAAATATATAACCAGGATGAATCAAAAGTACATGTACTTGCATATATTAACCACATGTTTTCTGAAGTACAGTACACATGCATGCATAAAATCACACAAACACCCCTGATCCATAACAGAATTACAGTTATTGGGAATTTTACACTTTCTCGGAATAGCAGATGTAGATAGACTTTCAATTTCTGGGAACTGAAAACAGTCACACTTCCTCGAAAATGCAGATAAATAGGTTTATACTTTCTGAGTTTGCCAAAAATTTTTAAGCTTTTGTAGTAGGTCAGCATAGGACAGTAAATTTACATTTAGCAAATCTGCTTTAGTGTTTGTTTGTTAATGTTGATTTAAACACCAACCAGGAAGTTTTGAACTTAAAAGATACTGATAGCCTTATATTTCTCCACATTTAGTTGTTGTTGTACCTGTTATGGAAGCTAAAAGACCTATCCCAGTAGCAATATTGATAAATTTTACAGGTATTTTAGCTTCCTCTAACATGAAATATTCAAGGCAATCAATCTGGTGTATATATATATATATATATATATATATATATATATATATATATATATATATATATATATATATATATATATATATATATATATATATATATATAGTTCATGCTTTTGTTAGATTAACATTGTATAATAAGATTTTTTTCTGATGTATGCTTTATTTGGGACAGATTAATTGTGAAATTAAAATGTTTTTATATTCTTTATTTCTTTTTAAATATATAATGGTATTCTAAGATTGCACCAAGCAGCAACCAGACTTTTTACAAGTTATTTCCATAAATTTTAAAGACAAAATATTCTGAAATGAATTCATATACATTTTATGAATATATCATGAGTTAAATATGCATTGAGTTGAGAGAGACTTTACTGAAACAAAAATTTTCACTTCTCACCTGCTCTGCTGTGGTAGAATTCAAAAACCTTGAAAAGTTGCTGAATAATGAAAAGCGGGTCAATGTGATCTCCTTTTTGCTGGTCATTAGATGTACCCTTCAAAAGAATAAACCCATCAAGTTTCATTACTAAAAAAAAGGTTTTAAGAAATTGAACTAAAATCAAACATAACAAAATCACTGGGGCATGAAAACTAGATTTTCATAATCTACTGTAAACATTAATCTCCAAGATCTAAGTGTCACAGAAACTGAATTAAATTAAAGAGATTAATTAATTGCTGAAGCATGCAAAATTGATCATGATGAGTGTTAGTACCTTTCAAGAGAAATGACTGTGCAAGCAACTGGGTCATAAAAACTTAATTAAAAAATAAAAATGAGTCATCTGTATGTCTTATTCATAGCCAAGACAAAAATACTGGTGAAAAAATTAATTCATAACCAAAATGTCTCCTATCTCTCAACCCCATGGAACCCACCTAGCAACAGAACCCCAAGAGCAACAGTGGCAGAAGGAAAAGGGTAATGTTGGATCATATAAAAAAATATATATAAAATTGTAAATGAATTGGTGGAGGGATTATTAAAATATTAGAAAGAAAAAACACCCCACCACCACCCCAAAAAATGAAAGTGATCTAGTTTTTGAACCAACCGTCACATCAAAGGATATAGTCTAGGGAAAACTGAATCATATAAATATTTCATTTTTGAAATGGATATATATCTATTAATAGGATCAACAATGGAATCAAACTTTAGTCATTTTAAAGAGTCCTAAATATTGACACAGTGACCTGACTCAAGGGTGGGAGTGGTATGAAGAGTGTAACAGGGGGATAACAGGAGCCAAATTTGGTGAAGACATTTTTAAAATATAAGTAACTGATAAAAACAATTTTAACAGAAACTTGTACATGTACTTCTTCAGTGATTCCCTTTAACCTTAAATACCCCAAAATTTTTAATTTGACCAAACCTCTGATACCAAAGATGTTTTTTTTAAACTCAATCTGACCCCCCAGTTCTTACACCAAGTAGATTTTAGACTCTCAATCTTGAACCCTAGGGAAAATAGTCAAGCACTGCCTCTTAAACCCTATTGGGCCAGAGATAAAATCCAGGAATATCAAATCCATGAGGTCTTAGTCTCTATATATGTTTATGTTATATTTCAATGCTGGTTATTAAGTTATGTAAATATGTTAAGAAAATACAATTTTACCAACATGTGTCTCCAGTATAATTGTTTACATCAAATTCCACCCATGGACATAAACCTGGGGCAGAAGAGATCCTGACAGAAGGGATGTATTTTATTATGATGTGAGCACGGTGTTACAAAAAATACATTAAACCAAAAATGTACTAAGATGGAGGAAGTATGTGATGATATATTTTAACTTTAAAATGATCAGTTTACTCAGCAACATGTGCTGTGCAAAGCAAACTGTCACCAATATAATTCTTGACCCCTTCATATCATCCATTGAGCAGGAGTGGTCTTAACAGACTAGGTGTACATGATGATGCAATATTGTCAACATAAAGTGAACTGGTAAAAAGGTTATGAAAATATCAGCAATGAAAAAAAAAATTAAACCAAAAACTTTAACCAAACTGGGTCCCCATTTTCCCTCTTGACCCCATGTAACAAGAGTCCTGCTGACAGAAGGGCA